CAGACAAGAAAATTTATCATTCTTCAAGTCCTCAATCAAGGATGCCAAGTACACATCAATATTGTGTTCGAGTTGTTTTGGTCTTGAGATCATCATGATCAACATGATATACCTGTCTTTCATACATAACGAGGAGGTAGATTGTGAATTGCTAGAAGAATTGGCCACATACTATGTGTGTTGTTGAGATTATTGAAAAAGTTAATTCCATTCATATAAAGTCCAAGTTGAAGGTTTCTCTACTCACTACCAAAATCAAGAAATTAAACTTCTAGTCTATCATCTTTCATCAAGGAAAATTGACCAAATGCCAAAGTTTGCTATCGAACATTCTCTCATCAAAATGATATCTCAAGTTCTTTACTTTTATGGCATGAGAAAACAAATGCTCAAACCATGATATTATTAGAAAATACCATTACACTTTTAAATATGAACCTTTAGTGCTCCCATTATCATCACCACCGACATCTTTTCTTACTTTGTATAGTGATGTCCCACATTTCGAATATTTATATAGCCCTTCATACTCCTTTCTGTACAACACACAGTCGTTAGGGCAATCGTGTATTTTTTATACTGCATACCTATCAGGCATAAAATTTTCTTAGCCTCACAGTGACATTGGGAAATGTATTAACATATCTACTAATAATTCAAGCAACCAAGTAAAACTAGTATCGATCTTCCCACCTCTTACCTTCAAGTTGATCAATCTCAACACACCAATCAAATGTGTATACTTTTGACACCCTAAAAACAAAAGCTTCTTTGCATTACTCAATTAGCTTTCATATGCATGTGCTTGCGTATAAGACTCCATTCTAATATCACATATCATATCCTTTATTCTATTATCCTAAGCATTTTTACCTACTTTTTTCTCTTGAAACATAGAACTTCATCCTCCGAGTTCCCCATGTCATATCCATTTTCTACACCTTAAATTTATCTCATCACAAAGTAAATGCTGTTTTATTTCATTAATATTAAGTCGACTCTCATTTAAATATTTCACATATGGATAAAAATATAGTTTATTTTTACTAAGGATATTCTTTTTAGAAAATTTAAGAAAATATCCCACCCCATTCTCATATTCTTCAATTATTCTTTTAGCATTCGTTCAACCATGGTCCATTATTTAACTACATAATTAATCAATATAAATAATATTATATTTAAAATTTTTTTAACTTAATTTAAAAATTTTCAGTAGTTTTTGCTTAAAACAAAACCTCCCAAAATTTCAACAAAATCAAATTAAACACAAATCTCAATAACAATAAAATTGAAATCAAACTTCCAATCCATGACTAAATTATATCAATTTTGTGAAGATAATAAAAAATTTTGGCAAAATTTCTCCTCATAATAGGACCTCTCAAAATTTCAATAATAATTAAATTCAATAACAATCCATAAAATCAAGAAATAAAGTCCACCTTATTTAAACATATGACTAAATTATTTAGCAATCCATACCAAACTAAAAGAAATAAACTAGGTATTATAACTAAATGAAATAAATTTACAATTGAAACTATAATTTAGTTGAAGAAATTAGAGAAAAAATTGACAAAGTTTCCCTATAAATAAGACTATCTAAAATTCAAACAACAATCAGAACATGAGAACAATTGAAACAATAACAACCAATACCCTACAACAATTGAAATAACAAAAAAAGCATAAAATTTATATATTTCCATAGCATAGTTAAACAATAATTAAGTAAAAATTTTCATATCTACAACTATTAAATACTAAAAATTTCATAAATCAATGAAAAATTAGCCAAAAAAATTACCAAACTTACTTGAAAGAACATAGGAGTCAATGACAACGAAACTACAATAAGGAAGTAGATAGAAACATGAAGAAATGTTGAAAAATCAACAATGGAAGAAGTTTGGAACTCCAACTCAAAGGAATAAATGATGAAGAAATCAAGAATGGAAGAAGGAAGAAGAGAACCATACCAAACAGGATGAAAGGCAACAGCAACCTAGCGAAATGGTGATCGAGCGAAATGGCAAATTGTGGAATGACCTTTAAGAGGTGACGGTAACCTTCTACTCTAACAACGGATTGAACAAAGACAAGTGGCAATGACAAAGGTAGGAGCTTTGACGGTTTTTAGGTCTAGAAGAAAAGAGAGAGATGCGTGCAAACTGAAAATTTTCATAAGCAAAATGAAATGGGGGGCTGTTTGAGTTCGATGTGCCTCTTAAAAAGGGAAACAATGTTGGTTATTTGTTTAACCGACATGGTTACCTATTTACACATTGGTTACTTAAGCAACTGACGTGGAAAATGAGAACTAATTTTTTTTTTTTACACCCCACGTCAATTGGTCAAATAAATGCCATGGTATAGTATTTTGACGTCAGTTAAAGGCATAAACAATGTGAAAAGGTTTACACTTAATTATAATTATGTCACCACCTTTTTTATTATGGATTTTTAAATAATTGATGTGAATAAGCAACGTAAAAAGGTTACTTTATAGTAGTGAAATAGTTATAAATAGAAATTCATGTTTCAATCTAAAAGTTACATTTGGTACTTAAATATTTATTTACAATTGATGAAACTTTAAGATTTGTACTTATTTAAATTGATATTTTTAACTTATTTTTTTAAAAAAAATCACAGACTTAAGTGTCACCAATTCAATATGTTAAGACCTTATTATGATTTTTCCTAATTTTTCTTCAGTTATTATGTGTGTGTCTATTTCTATCTTGACTTCCATAACCAAGTCCTAGGTGTGCCTTCTGTGCAACAAGACCCGCAATGAAATAAAAAGAAAGAGAAGTACTACAGCATATTTTTAGTTTCATTTTCTATAAAATCTAGTATGTTATTTTATTCACCGCCATGAAAGGCACAATTCATGAAAAGGGATAAAGATGTAACGATGATTGCAGACCCGTCTGGCGTAGAATCATTTTCTCTGGATAACTTCCGTTATATATGTGGATTTAGTTTGGATCATCCGGGTCAAAATTATATGATTCAAGTTTAATATAATTTTATTTTCATATTTTTAATAATTTAAAATTTTAATACATGCAGAATTCAAACTAAGAATGCATCTCAATCGTTCTTGTGTCAAAAAATATTTTTATATAAAAATTATTAATTAAAAAATTTAAATCTAAATCCTGAAAAAATTGAATGTAGATAATTTAATTTGGATTTCATCACAACCATGAGCATCATTATCGAAACCCAACCCTCAAGGATGATAATATCATCAATCAGCCTATTTGATTTTTTCACGCCACATATTTTACATCTCGATCAAATGCAGTCAAGTATTAACAAATGAAGGCAGCTACGACACCTTCAATGAGATATGATGTGTGTGTGTGTGTGTTTTTGTGTGAGATATGTGGTCCCAAAACGTGTTAAATTAACCAATTAAGCACGTACGGCACTACGGCTACTTTCTCGGGGCCACCACGTGGATGTCATATTGTCGTCTAGTTAGCCAACGGATCGGACAAACAGTCAACAGCTCTTCTCTTACACCCTCGCGTTAGCCTCTTCCCTTGCGTTAATCAAAGCTTTTGGCCTTTTGTGCACAACACAGTCTTATACGACCCTATTAAAAATTGATATTTTAAGATTGAAAAAATAAAAAAGATTTAATTATTTTTTTGGGTTGGATTGGATAAAAAATTAAGCATTTGAATCACTTAATTCAGTTTAGTCCTATTAAATTTATTTAGTATAATTTTAATTAATTTACTAATTATTTATAATAATAATTTAAGACTATTAATAATTTAATAAGTCTAGTTCTTGGCATGATCAACCATTCAAACTAATAATTTAATAATTTGGACTACTTGAGTTATAATTGAAATATTTTTTTTCTTGTTGTAGGAAATTATTATGGATTTATTATGATTATAAATATTTTTATTATCTTAATTGAGTTTATTAGATTGAAATTAACTATTACTTCTCATAGAGAAAAAAATAAAAGCTAATTAAGTATCAAACTAATAGGATCACTTTTCAAATCCTATGGACTAAGTTTAATTTTATTAATTTTTGAGTTATTACTGGATTAAAATGGATTACATGTTGTCTACTCTAGTTTTTTTCATAAAAGAAATCGGATTTCATGTTAGACAGAAGTATAGTCCTATCCAATCTTTCGTGCGGCCCTACCAAGGCTGATTGAGATTATTAGAAATGTACAGCTACTCCACTATTGATGATGATGATTTTTTATATACAAATTTTAAACAGCTCATTTATATTGCTCAAATTACATATAGGTGAAATCTGTCAACCTCTGTAATAAAAATAAAGTTCAAGATATTCGTTAATGATTTTCATTTTTCATGAAACACGACTGGTTTAGGGGGAGGGGTTTGCCGCAAATCAACATTCCATACAACACGTGCTTAATTAGAAATACACAGACACAAAGATCGAATCATCAACACAAACACAACAAAATGAAACATTAAGAAAGAAAAATACTATAATAAATGGAATTTTATTTTTCTTCATATTTTTTATTTTAAAAACTAAAAATAATATCATTTTAAGTAAAAATGAAGACAAAGTAAATCTTTTTTGGAAAATATATAATGATGATGAATAATTCTCCATCTACACACCAAAAGAATGCTTAAATATTCCTTTGGTCTAAACTCTAAAAGTGATTGTCCCATGTTTTGAAAATAAAAAACTCTTTTGCCATCGAAAATATAGTATTGCTGATGACGATTTTATTATTTATTGAACATAATTTTTCGATTTGAATAAACTTCTATTTTACAATGTTCATTAATTACATGAAAACCGAGGCCAAAAAATGGCACAAAAAATTCAACTTAACTTTTTAATGAATCGAAATTATTTCATAAATTTATAAGTTTATTAATTAATTGTCCAGTAAAATATTTGTCAGGACCCGATGCCTCCTGCGGAACTTGAAGTGAGGTACCAGGTGGTAGCTGAAACACGACTCATTTTTCATGGACTAAAAACACACATCACTCATCTTTAATTAAATAACATCTGCGAGGACAGTACAACAAGTTAATAACTTTGCTCGCTTGCATGATCGCAAAAAACAGGAAGCTAGAAAATAAACGAGTCTTAACTAACGTATTAATTATAATTAATTAATTATAGAATGCAACGGAAAGTCGGAAACAGCTTCCATGAACTCAGAGTCCTTTCCCATGGCCTCCAAAATTTCAGAAGAAAGGGAAACTTCCACATCAATGCTCCCTTCTGCTACCCCGGCAAACACAGTAATTTTCCCGTACGTTTTATTACCGGCGCCACTTCGGACCGCCACCGGCTTTCCCCATCCGAAGTCATTCCCGTACACGTCAAACCTTGGCGAACTACTCGTAACCAGTGCATTCCCAGCCATCCCATCCTCTGTGAGCAGCCTAGGGTTTTTCACCCAAGACTTGACGTGGCTAACGAGCTTCTCTTCCGTGTGCAAAGCAACCATCTTGTTCATCTCCAAAGCGGCCTTGCCGAGACCCTCTCTGGCTAGCAGCTCCCCTGCTCTCATGCTCACAGTACCATCCTGCACCGCGTTTCCAAAATAGTTCTCAGGCATCGGCGGACGCATCCTCGGCCTTATACCTATCAGCAATCTGTAGATGACCTCTTCCTCAGGCTCAGTACCCTGGGTCCGAACGATAGAACGCCAGAGATGTGTCAAAAGTGCTTGTAGAGAAGATATCATATTGGAACATACCATCGCGTTAGCTTTTGCTTTCAGTTCCGCTATTTTTTCCTTTGAGAAATGAAACACCCTCTCTTGATGCAGCCGCGAATTGAGGTACCCACCGAACTTCTGCTTCTCCTTCGCCTTGGGGAGACGAATGCGTACAGGGCGCCGATCAATGCCATCGAGAAACCAACGCTCGAGCGTGGGAGGCTTGGATGGCTCCCTCGAGCCACGTGAGATTTCAGACCAGGAATTGAAGAAGTGCCAAAACGACGTGCCGTCGGCGACGACGTGGTTGATAGTGCATCCGATGAAAATGCTGTCTCTTAGCTCCGTGACTTGAACGCCTAGCAGTGGCTTGCACGTGCCCTCGTAGTTTCTTACTCTGTTAAGCGGAAAGAAGGAATGGACGATGCGAGGAGTGTAGAGGGGCTGAAGGATATCTGAGATCGTCAAATCAGCTGCTACGGCATGGACAAATAATGCTCCAGAGTTGTTGCAGAGAACAGAAACGGAGGAGGTATCGTCGTCGTGTTCGTCGACGGTGAGACGGCCGGCGAGGGGCGGGAAGAAATCAAGGGTGGATGAAAGAGAGGCTTTCAGGTGGTGGATTATCGAATTCATGTTTGCCCTGGGTTTACGGAAAAGAAGTCCTTTCTGAATGGGGTCCACGAGGAGGAGCTGAAGATCCCACGGACTTAGCTCGATCTTTCGAGTCGGATCACCGCTTCGAGTCGCTGCTTGCACGTTGCTCGTTGAGATGATTAGGATCTGGCTTGCCATGGCAACTATACTTAATTTGTATGTGCCCGATTGCCGATAATGCTTTGGCTTCACTTGCTCGGGTTGGGATGAGATGACTAGTACAAGACTCTATATGCACACATATATAGCATTTTCCGTGGTCATTTGTTATTGTATGTCTTTAATTTTACTTTAAATAATTCTACTCGCAATAATTTTGCCCGCGTCTATTCTTGTGGGGCGGCACACGCAACAAATTCTTTTATGATCTGGTTTCCTCCAGTTAGGGAATTGAGTTGATCCTCGACCAACTCGATTACTAAATTGAGTTACGCACGCAACTAAATCAAGTTAATCTGATTTGGTGAGTGTCCTTCAATTTTGCCCAACTATTCGAGATCAATTATTGTTTTCGATTTAAGAAAATACTCGACTAACGACTAACTATCTTATATATATATATATATATATGTATGTATGTATGTATAATAATTTTTTCGTTTTAAATTATAAAACACTTTTGGAGAATATTCGATATCCTAAAATATAAAACATTTTAATAAAAATAAAGTTTTATTAATAGATGATATTTTTAAAAGTTTATAATTTTGTTTTGACAAAATAAAGTTGTAAATTATATTTAATGAACTTTATTAATATGCATGATTTTATTTAAAAGTATTTTATAATTTAAGACGTACTTATATGTATATTTGCTATATTTTTTGTCAGATAAGCTCATGCCAACAATAAATTAATATGAGAACTTGTTGTATCTACAAAAAGATGATCGAGCTCTTGAAATTTCAGGTCCTTTTAATTAAAATTTGAGTTAACGAAATCAATAAAGTGTTGATGAACTGTAAGAATTTATTCATAAAAAAAATATTAATTAAGTGAATAATATCAAGTATATATTTTTGGAATGCAATTTTTAAAATATTAAAAGGCAAATAAATTTCTAAGATAATTTTACGCTAACTAATAAAAGCTCATCCATTTCTCTTTCTCTTTCTCTTTTACCACGGTCCTTCTTAAAGGAATATAAGCCCCGCTCTCTCAACTGAAGGAAAGAGCACTCTTCCAAGCATGAGCAATGGTCACTCTGCTTCCTCTCTCATTATCATTTCTCCTTTTCTTTTATCACATGAACTCTTTCATAAAATTGATGGAGCTAGCCAGGCGTGTATGCCCCTCCTTTTCTTTGATTTATAGACAGGATCGCGAACTCGATCTCACGCACTCGCAAGGAAGCTTTCATATCATTATTTGTAAATAAAGTTATTATTTTGCAAAACTACCGAACAACTTTTTGTTTTTTGGAGAAATTTATTATCAATAATGATATATGAATATATATTAACTTTATAAAACAAGTCATACATAGGCTCTAATAACTTAAGTTTTCGGGCTAACTTGAATAACGGAATTATTAAATATTATCTTCTTTTTTCTTTTTTCTAGTCAATTTCGTTTTTATATTAAAAATAAGATTTTAAATTTTTTATGTATTTTTATTTTTATTTTCTTAATAATAAAAAAAGGATTTTAGGTATTCAAACTTGGTCTGAATTTCTTCGAGCTTATTTAGGTGGTTCAAACAAGTAAAGAAAATTTTTTAAATTCTTGAACCACATCTTGAGATTTTTCAAGCCTATTCAGGCTAGCTTGTTAGGTTTAAACCAAATTATCAAATCTAACCTTTTTCAATATGTTAAAACAACTAGACGTTGGCTATAGTGTTCTAAAAGTTAAACTCAACGAATAGGGGAATGTTGGCCTATTTTGTAAAATTAATGAGTTCCCATGCACCATTATTAATTTTAGAATACTAGAAACTCTTGAGGAAAAAACCTATGGATATATCTGTATCTTTTGTTTAATTTGCTTCTTTTTTTTAACAGTCAACATCAATAAACGTAAGTCAGATTGAACGAAATGAGATTGTTGCACTCATCAAAACAAGCTCATGGGTATTATATTTTTGTTCACTCAATAATACTGGTTGCTCTTAAAAGAAAATTGTTAGGTATTTCTGTCCTTTAATTCTATTGTTTATAAAGTTATAATGTTCTTATAAGCTCGCCAGGCTTCTAACGAGAGTTTTGAAAAAATTTTGAGGATCCACCTTATAGGTGCAGGTAGTTCATGAGATATAGTATGACACTGTGACTTATCGTAACCACTTTTGCAAGGCTTTTTTGTGGTTTGTTTTGTTCAAAAAAAGTTCTTGGCTATGCCCTCATTTTTCAATTAGAAATAATAACATTCAAGGACTCTTAGAAGAATATAATATTATTTATAATTTAATATCATGAAATTTTGAAATTTCAAAAAAGACTATGATTTTAAATTGAATTAATTTTTCAAAGAAAAATATAATTGTTAGTCCTTATAGCTTTATTGCATTTTTCTTTTAATCTGTATAAGTTTTTCAATGTTTAATTTTCAATCTTTATAGAAATTGAAAATGTTGAAATAATAGAAATCTAAATAACAAACGTCACCCAATTTTACTAATAGTATAGAGACTGAAAAAACTATAAGAATTAAAAACAAAATTGGATAAAATTATAGAGATTAATAATTGTATTTTTTTTTTCTTTTTTTCTATTCCAATTTTTTCAACACTCATCTTCCATACCTCTGATGGGACAGGAGAAAAGTTAAGATTAAAGAAAATAATAAAAAGAGAAAACTAAAACAAAAATGTTAGCATCCCTTATGTTTGGAGGAGCAAGAAAAATAAATAAATATCACAATAATTATAATTCTTTAAAATCAAAATAAATCAAGCTTCATAAAATTATTTTTATAGAAATAATTATATTAAGGGAAAAATATATTAAAACTAACACCATCAAAATAAGTCAAAATTAAATAATTTTGTAAAAAATACATTTCATAATGTTATATTTTAAAATCAAATAATTTATTAAAAATATATCAATTTTCTATTAAAAACTAGGCCATTGATGACGGGATTCCAAGAACAAGTGGACCACATGATATACGGATGGAGGCCATTACAATTAATTTCATGAGAAGACTTGATTCTTGAGTAGGGTTGGAATGTGGACATGGACGAGGTCCTCCAGTGAATTATTAGAACAGGCGAAAATGATCGTCGCATTTTCAACCCGATAGTAGCATCTGCCCCCATTTAGACACATGAGCAGGTTCGCCACTTTCCTGGTGATGCAAAAGGCTCCACAAAGACGAAAACATTTTTTAATGCTCATTTTCCATTTTTTTAGTACTGAAAACATTTACCTTTATTTTTTCTCAGCATTGACACTATGAAAAATGAATATTAAAGACATCTAAAGTGACAATTAAAAAAATTTTACTGTTAAAATATGAAAAATGAGTTCTGAAAACTTTTTATTAAAAAAAATTAATTCAAATTAAGGTCCATAATCCTATTCAACTTTCTTAACTGTAATTAGTATGTTTATAAAGTTGTTGAATGTCAAATTGAATTATTGATGTTCGCGGGCCTCGCTCATCTGCACCCTTCGATCCACTGCTCATGTTTTCAATTTTGAATTTTTCTTCTTCGTATTTGTTGTCTATTCATTATCTAATTTGACTTTTCTCTCTCCTCCCCGAGACCCTTTCTATCTTTACATTTTTTTTGGGGCCAACTTCTATCTTTACATTTAAGAGAATGAACTTTTATAAACTACAATAAATGACCTTTATTTTCTTCTATATTGATAATTTTGATGATAAATTTTATTTTATATTATATATTTTAAGTCATTTGCTATCTAAAATAAATTTCTTCAATTATTATTCTATATATATCTCAATCATTATTTGAAAATATTATTTGATATTATTATATAATTATTAATTATTATTGTGTTGTCTATTTTCTTGGTGTATATATGTACCCTTAGAATCAATGATATATATGACATTTTTCCAATCTTTTCCTGGTTTATCTATCTTGGCTCTGATAGTTTTCATGATATAAGAACCATAGCATATTATATTTTCACAATAAATCAATTTTTGAAGAATGTTAGCCTTCCTTTGTGTAACATCCCAATTTAAATTTTAATAGTTAATTTGGGTTGATAGAAATTTAAAAAAAAATATTTAGAGGTAAGCAAATTAGAAGGAGATGATTGTTAAATCTAATCAGGATATAATTCTAAATTAAAATTTAAAAAAAATTAATTAATTAATTAAAAAAATATTAAATTATTATTATTATTATTATTAAAAAAAGAAAATGTATAAAGAAAGAAAGAAGAAGAAGGAGAAGAAGAAATCATGCTTTCGGTGCTCTCCCACCGCAATCATGACACACATATATAATAATAATAATAAAAGAAGAGAGAGGAAAGAGGAAAAAAAATATGTGGGACCCGCAGTATTTTTTTTATAAAACCACCCTCCTTCCTTCGTTTCTTCATTTCATCCCTGTACGCGAGCTGAGGCAAAGAGCGAGCGAGAGAGCAAGCGACATTGATGGAGAGGCTAACTGATTTAGAAGGTGAAGCTCCATAATAAGATACTTCATATGAGATTTTAAGTATTCTAAAACTAGGTAAGTGTTCTAAACATTTTTCTTAGTCATATTTTCTCTTTGGTTTCTGATTTTGTGGTGGTAGAAAATTTAGGATTTGGAAGAGGGATGAATTTATGTTGAATAAATATAGTTTTGAGGTTGTTAGTAGTGTAATAAATATTCTAAAGTATTATTTTATTGATAGAATTGGAATTTGAGGCATTTGAGTTTATCCCTAGATTTCTATGGGTAGATTTTTGGTTAAATCTGAAAATATAAATTGATTTGTTGATATTTAGATGATTATTTGAGATGATAAATAAATTATTATGACTATAGAATAATGATTCTAGGCTTGAAATCAAGTTTATAATTTTTGAGTATTTTTATGTGCGAATTTTTGGAATAAAAAGAGAAATTTTGATATTAGAAAAATATTTAAATGAAATTATTGTGAAGGAGACTATTAAACTAAGTAGATATGTTCAAATACATGAAATTAAATTTTAGAATTCAAGAGACTAAGACTAATTTCTGAAAAAAAATAAATAAATAAATATAAAATAAAATAAAATAAATACTTAGGTGTTAGAGTATGA